TTGTCGTAAAAAACCGGAAATCCGTGCGCTAAACAAAAATTTATGCATGTTTTCCCCTGATAATTATCGAGTGTCAGGTTTATCTTGGGAACGTGCAATTTTTGAGCAGCTTACGATAGGTAGTGAATGCGAAGCAATTTCTAGGGCTTAAATGCCTAATAAGTGCGTTCGACGCCGGGATTTCTCGGCACAACGCGGTTTAGTCTATTCAAGGGCCGGTGTCAAAGGTCACCGTAGGAGACTTAACAAGAATCCGTACATTTTAAAGTTGACGATGCTGTTTGCTCACCATACTAGCAGGACACAAATAAAGGTCAATGTTTGGTACAAAATTTAAAATATGGTTGATACAAAGCGAGTTCAGGTCAAACCTTCGTCTTCAAAAACCAACAGAAGATAGGAAAATGAGGTCTGTGTGATATCTGGATATAATGTCATTCTTGATTAGGCGTTGACAGAAGATTCAAATTGGGCCAGGATAAATGCAATGGGTCACCGAAGGGCATCTGAGAGTGGCGCTTCCATTGTCAGATTACGAGACACTGGCTTGAAAGACATTCGTTCGCGATTAAAGTGAAGATCAAATTTACCCACTGTGCCATCATAGCGATTTTTAACAATCTTAAAAGAGACGGAGCAAAATAGATGGGATGTAATTGATTTAAATTGCAATTACAATTACGATCACAATTTTGGATGGATTATCTGACTAAATCGGTTCACTCCTTCATTGGTGGTTTACCTCTTTCTTCAAGAAAGTAGGAACAACTTAAGCTTACACTAAAAATAGAAAAGAAGAGTGTATTTACTGGATACAGCTATAGTACAGTACTGGTCTCAGCCTATGTAAGGGTTACTAAATTAGTATCAATGCTTTTTCACAAAGGAGCTATTAAGACCACTAAAGCTGATAGCGTTATACGATCCAACAAGAGATGCACATGTATATCATTTATGCTACCAGAAGACTACACCGAGCACACAAAAGAATTCAGATAAAGGCAAAAAAGTCAGAGTAGCCCACTTGCCTGGATGTATTTCTTCGGTACTGCAGTGCCTACCTCTTCCTGTAGAAGGAAAATGTTGTCTGCTTCCTGGCTTATTTTACCACCGCCGTAAAGGCTGCTGATTGTCAGAAGATTGTCATCATCAACCTAAATCTGAAGTTAGAGGCAACTGACGAGACTGTCAGCTTACTTTTCGAGGATGTACGACGACGGTTAAGTGGGCGCCCGTATCACTCGCGAAGCCTCGTAGGCGTTCGACGAAACGGTCCTGCCTCTGAAATTTCTCCTCCAAGCGATTTCCTGCTGCACCCATCATGAATTGGAGGTTATCCAATATCACATGTTCAACGGAGCGCTTTTTTACGGCATCAGCCAGAGCCTGTAGAAAATTTAAAATAGGATGCAGTGTAAGTGAGCCGTTAGAAATATGAAAAGCGTCCAAGGGTCAAGCTCAGAAAGTGCAACCTAAGCCTTGAGTAAAACCAACAAACGAAATAATTTTACTTAGCTTCGTCAACATATACACCAAGACCAAAAAATTAATCAAAGCAGTAGACAGTTAGCCCAGCTAAAAATGGATCCTGACCAATGGGCAAAAACTAAGCGACTAGTGGTAGAAGCTTTTGTAGTCCCCCTTTGGAAGGTTTAGTTAACGTCATAGACCATCGATAGTCCGAAAAACAAGAAAAAGTTAGCCTAGTATCCGAAGAAGATATGGTACTCAATTTAAATGTTTAAAAATGCACTGGAACCGGGTTCAAACCTCGGATGAGTCGACACTTGGGGCTGAGGCATCACTGGTTGATAAAGGTCAGTTAACCAGAAACGACTATTCGATGTCCGATTCTTTTTCAGTAAAATTTGCTTATTACTAGGCAACAATCTAGACAGATCCTAGAATTGAAGCCCACAAATAAGACAAAGGTACCCAGTTCTGTATATTCATCGCTATGTATCGGTGAAAATCACAGACATGTGACTTGACAGGAAAATTCACTTTTTGGTAGATTATATCAGGAGTGACGAACCCTACTAGAGTGCAGACGCTCATAATATTAACAACTGAAAAGTTCGTTTCGAAATGAAGCTACTACTTACCAGGAATACTTCGTTTTCGCTCGGCCGACCATGCATATTTAGGAAGAGCATCGGTATCTCCTGACGGAAAGAAGCCGCCCAAGCGGCTACTCGAGCGGGCTCAAGATTGGTTAAAGGCTCTCTGAAACCTGGCATTAGTTCAATTCGAAGTCTTACCTACCCAGCGTATTGGTGGAGAAGAGTCCTGCATAACCTCGGCAATGAAATTTCGAAACTTCCCCATAAGGTTTTAACGCCCTGCTCCGCAAGATCCAAGGAATACTCACAAGCAAAAGTTGTCTTTCCGATGCCTGTCTTGCCCGAGAGAACAGACATTTCATGACTGCGAAAACCTTTCAAAATCTTGTTTAGCTCCTTGAATCTGGACCACTTAGAAAAACAAAATAAGAAAAGTGACATAATTCGAAGGTACCTGGATACCTCTCATTTCCAGCACGTTCAATATTTCGTCGAGAGTTTTTGTTAGTAGTTCACCATCGAATCTGACGATTTTCATGGTGCAGCTGTCCAGAAAATTTTTTGGGGAAGAAAAATTATATTTTAGTGGACAATTACAAACAGCTTTATGATAAAAATATGTAAAAGATCAGAAATACCTAAAATCAAGACATTATAGTGAATTCCAAACTGTAGTAAGGAATAGACCATAGTTTAAGGCTAAAGCAGAATCATTTTAGTAGGCAGCCTATGTGGGATTCTTTATCGCGTAAACACAGTAACGCAGTGGATTTGAAGGGCTGTGAACATCTACAGCAAAGTATTTATCAGAACTCTAGGAAATTATATGAATCTGTGCAACATGACAGGACTTTTGTAAAAGAACAAGAAACTAACGAAAAATAGGCCGGGGTACTTAAAAAACTTATACTCACCTATAAGTTAAAATCTGGGATAGTTTTATCAGAAGTCTATAGTATCACGAAAAAGTAAGCGAACGCACAGTCGCGTGGAGTGAAGTGCGCCAGCTAATGCACCAAATCCAAGTTCTTTCTAGGCGCACACAACCCTTTGTTTGAAGACAACTGCAGTAGATCCAGGTTCAGGTAGTTTTCAGCATTTAGAATACCTTGATGCGATCTGTGTTGTTAACCTGTTTCGACGAGAAACATCGAACATAAATCAACATGTTACATGCTCGACGTTTGTTCTTAAAAACTCAAGTGAACTGGAAGAGCATTCTTCTACTTAAAGAAGAAATTTAGTTTCTCTTGGTCTTGGGCTATCCCATCAACTGCAGGTGGGATATCTCAATGCCTATTCAGACGCAGTGAAAGGCCTGCGGCAAAAATTAATTCGGCAGATTTTCATGCACCTCTTTCGCAGAAACTCCAAATTAGGCGGATCACCGATTGACAGACAGATGCTGGTGGGAAGAGGTCCACCACAGGGAAATCTTAGGAATGCTACAAAATGCTTGCATGACCTCAGACTTCTTTATAGAACATAAGAACAAATGCAATTTAACTATTTCTATTTTTACGAAGGAGTTAGTTCCTTGATAAAAAAAGGAAGCCGGAGCAGAAAAAATAGTACATGTGGCACGAATTTCTGCCGTTACAATACACGCAGTTTGAACTACAGTGGGCCTACATGGCTGATCTACTCTATACGGAGGGGATACCCATACAAATAGGGTGAGCAACTCGGAAGAAGAAGAAGAATGGACCACTGGAATAAGAGTTTTATAGGTGAGCAACGCACTGGTTGCATGGGGACACATACGGATTGTCTACCTTACTTATATGTGGAAGGATACTTTGTGTCTCTACAACATCTCAACTCCACTTTTTTTCTGAAAGTAGTAGAATTCGACTGAAAAACGCCTACTCCAGTATCTGTTTATTGCTGCAAGCGGCTAAAGTTGACTGAATTGGTACGAAAAGCCTTGAACCAAGTCTGTTTTTCCTCCATAATAACATATAAGTATGTGGCAATAACGAAAAAATTTAATTTTTGTTTCATCAATAGAGGGTAGGGAACGAACCCATGGAGATCCCTTGTTTGCAGCCACCGGACATAAGGGAGTTTTTAGGTCAGACCCATCCCTGCGCCAAGGCAGGGGCACTCCCGTGAACGGTATAGATCACGGTTCAAATAAAGCATCGTATTTCTTCTTGAACCCGGCAACTGTGTCGGCAGCAACAACATCGGGGGGAAGATTGTTCCATGCATTCACGGCGCGCCTTCAGAGTCGATAGATGTGCGGGAGGCCATCTGTCCGCTGTACCACTAGCTTGAAGCAATGTCTGCGCGTAGGCATATCAACGGCCAGTTGCAAGTACTGTGCGACCTCCGGGATGTAACCGCAAACGATTACTTTGTACATCATGATTTGGTCGCCTCTGGAGCGTCAAAATTCGAGGGTAAATAGGTTCATTGCTTTACAGCGCTCTGGATATGTCATCCTCCTCACTTCGGACACCTTGACCCCAGCCGTTGTACATATTCGATAGCGGTTATCTCGCCCTTCATACATGGGAACCAAGCGGACGATATATTTACAATGATCAGGCGGATGAACGTGACCACAAGCTTACGGAATATCTGCATGGGTCAGGACGTGAATGCTCTTTTGAACATCCAAAGTATTGCTAGACCCTCGCGTCTCGCTAAAGTTGACTGTTCTTGTGTTTTGAGGTTGACCTGTATGATAACGCCTAAATCACGAGTATTCGTATGGCTGGTGGTCCCGGTTTCTCCCAATTATCAGTAAGTGTGATTTATTCACATTGACCGGTATCTTGACCTCTAATGACCATTAGTGGATCACATTAAGATCATTTTGAAAAGTCATTGCGTCTTCGGGGTTGTGTATAGCACGCCATACCTTGAGGTCGTCCGCAAACAGAAGGCACGGGGACAAAAGTATTGATGGGATATCCGCAACGTATATAGAAAATAGTCTGGGACCCAGCACCAACCCTTGTGGTACGCCATTCAAACGCAGAGGAATGCCCTTCGCCGACCCTCCCCGGCATTCTCTGCCGAACAGGTACCCTTT